TTTGACCCCAGCGTCACTGGCTCTGCAGAGGTGCGGGGTGGTCTGGGGGCCCCTCCGCTGCAGTCCACCCGATCCTTGCCGGGCCCCGCCCCCTGCCTCAAGCACTTTCCGCTCGACCTGCGCACGTCTATGGATGGCAAATGCAAGGAGATTGCCGAGGTATCGCCTGGCACCACCCATGCCCTCACCCATGTCCCCACGTCCTGCCTCCGCTCCCCATGCCCCTGTACCTCAGCCATCCCTCACTTCACACCTGGCTGTCCCCTGATCCTCAGCCTCTCCCAGGTACCCCCTGCCTCTCCTGCCCTTGCCCCATCCCCAGACTCTGCAGGGTTGGGCCCGGGGACTGAGGGCTGGCCATGCTGAGCCACCTGCCCCCGCAGGAGCTGTTCAGCCGCTCGCTGGCCGAGAGTGAGCTCCGCAGTGCCCCGTATGAGTTCCCCGAGGAGAGCCCCATTGAGCAGCTGGAGGAGCGGCGGCAGCGGTTGGAGCGGCAGATCAGCCAGGATGTCAAGTGAGCCTGGCTGGCACCGAGGGGTCAGCTGCAGAATGCCAGCGTCCCCGGCTCCCTCCAGACCCCTTAGAGCCCCTTTTCCATCCCACCCTCCCTTTGGAAGGGATGCAGCACAGAGCTCAGGCTGTGAGGCAGGCTGCTGGGCCCTGGGTCTGTCTTCTGTCCTGCCGTGGCCTGGAGCGTGTTGCTTCACCCCTGGGTCTGCTTTCTCGTCACTCAAGTGGGGTGAGAACAGCACAGGGTCCTGCAGCCCTTCCTGCAAGGGTCACGTGTGACGACATGCGCCCAGCACCTAGCACGGGGCCAGGACCTGGGAGCAAGGGCCATCCCTTGCAATCTGCCTGACCTCTCATCCCTTTCACCTCTAGGTTGGAGCCGGACATCCTGCTTCGGGCCAAGCAAGATTTCCTGAAGACAGACAGTGACTCAGACCTACAGTGAGGAGGGCATGGGCAGTGGGCATGGAGCCGGGCCCGCCTGGCTGCCGACTCCACTCTGACCCTGCACGCTTTCCTGTGTAGGCTCTACAAGGAGCAGGGCGAGGGGCAGGGTGACCGGGGCCTGCGGGAGCGCGATGTGGTGCTGGAGCGGGAATTTCAGCGGGTCACCATCTCCGGGGAGGAGAAATGTGGGGTGAGTGTGGGGCAGGGCTTTGGTCTCCATCCTTGTGTCCCAGTGGGCCCCCTGGTCTGGAGAGGGTGTTTCTCTTCCCAGCAGTTGAAGGGGCAGAGGGTCTGGCTGAGACCAGTGGTCTCAGCATACTTGGGGTCAGGGCCTGCAGGAGGTGGGGGTGGTACACGGACAGCCTCAGGGAGGAGGTGAGAAGAGCCTGGGTCTGGGTCAGAGACTGAGCAGAATGTCCACGTGGCCTCGTGCCCAGGTGCCCTTCACAGACCTGCTGGACGCAGCCAAGAGCGTGGTGCGGGCACTGTTCATCCGGGAGAAGTACATGGCCCTGTCGCTGCAGAGCTTCTGCCCCACCACTCGCCGCTACCTGCAGCAGCTGGCTGAGAAGCCTCTGGAGACACGGAGCTATGAGCAGGGCCCTGACACCCCTGTGTCTGCTGGTGGGACCCCCATCCCTGCCCAACCCCAAGTGCCCTGGGCTCCTGGGCACCCTGAGCTCAGGGCCAGCCTGCTTCTTCCTTCACACATCTAGGCTCATTCCAGCCTCTTGGTGCCCCTGGGGGTGGAGGTTGGGGCAGGAGCTGCCGTCTGGGGGGGCCCTGGGCTGGACAGCAGGTGGCCGGAAAGAGCCTTGGTTCTGACTGAGCCCTCCCCCACAGATGCCCCGGTCCACCCCCCCGCACTGGAACAGCACCCGTATGAGCACTGTGAGCCAAGCACCATGCCTGGGGACCTGGGCTTGGGTCTGCGCATGGTGCGGGGAGTGGTGCACGTCTACACCCGCAGGGACCCCGATGAGCAGTAAGAGGGCTGTGGTGTGGGAGGCTGCACTGGCACAGGAGGGGCCCTCAGTCTGGCCTGCCCTCCTCACCCAAGCTCCTCTCCATGCCAGTTGCTCGGAGGTGGAGCTGCCGTACCCTGACCTGCAGGAATTTGTGGCTGACGTCAACGTGCTGATGGCCCTGATTATCAATGGCCCCATGTGAGTCCTGCCTGGCCCATGCAACTCGCCTTTCAGCCCCAGCCCTGCTCCCAACCCTTGTGTTCTGGCCTTTCACCCCTCCGGTCACCAAGCCCTGGACTGTCCTGCCTGCTGCCCTCTTAGCAGCCTGGTCCCGTGCTTCCCTCTTCCTCCCTCTGCTCTGCTACCCGGGGCCTCCCAGGTGCCTCCTCCAGGGCCTGAGTCCTTGCCCCATTCTCCTTCTGCCCAGAAAGTCGTTCTGCTACCGCCGGCTGCAGTACCTGAGCTCCAAGTTCCAGATGCACGTGCTGCTCAACGAGATGAAGGAGCTGGCCGCCCAGAAGAAAGTGCCACACCGGGATTTCTACAACATCCGCAAGGTGGGCCTCACCCGTGTGTCCCTGCCTGTACCCCTGTCCAGCCTCTTCAGGGGCCTGGGCCTCCACTTGGCATTCAGTACGGAGAGTCCTCTCCTATCCCGCTGCTCTGGGCTGCAGTCCACTCGGGCCTCCTGTTCCATCCCAGGTGGACACGCACATCCACGCCTCGTCCTGCATGAACCAGAAGCATCTACTGCGCTTCATCAAGCGGGCGATGAAGCGGCACCTGGAGGAGATCGTGCATGTGGAGCAGGGCCGCGAGCAGACTCTGCGGGAGGTCTTCGAGAGCATGAATCTCACCGCGTACGACCTGAGTGTGGACACACTCGACGTGCACGCGGTCTGTCCCAGCACCACGGGCTGAGGGGCTGGGTCATTGCGGGGCTCAGAGTCAGGAGTGACCTGGGCCTGCCTGTCTTCCTCAGGACAGGAACACCTTCCATCGCTTCGACAAGTTCAATGCCAAATACAACCCGATTGGGGAGTCTGTCCTCCGAGAGATCTTCATCAAGACCGACAACAGGGTTTCCGGGAAGTACTTTGCCCACATCATCAAGGTGAGGAGGCAGCATGGGATGAGGAGAGTAGTTAAGGTGACCGAAGCTGTCTGGCTGAGCTTGCGTGCGGGTGCAAAAGCAGAGGGCCAGGCGGGAAGCCCAGGTGTGATGGCTGCTCCCTGCCTGTCAGGAGGTGATGTCAGACCTGGAGGAGAGCAAATACCAGAACGCAGAGCTGCGTCTCTCCATCTACGGGCGCTCGAGGGACGAGTGGGACAAGCTGGCACGCTGGGCCGTGATGCACCGCGTGCACTCCCCCAACGTGCGCTGGCTTGTGCAGGTGCCCCGCCTCTTGTGAGTGTCCCTTGGAGTGGGAGGGAACATGAGGGCCTGTCTCTGCCCTCCCCCAGCCTGGCCCACCCTCAGGGCAAGGAGGCACCATCCAGTCCCACCCTGATATCCTGGCTTTCCCAGTGTGGCCAGACGTGCTCCGGTGCTCCTGGCCAAGCTTGGCCAGGACTGGCCCGCCGGGTTTCCTCTGGCCGGCCCTGACGTGCCTGTGCCTGTGTGCCGTGTCTCGCCCGCAGTGACGTGTACCGTACCAAGGGCCAGCTGGCCAACTTCCAGGAGATGCTGGAGAACATCTTCCTGCCGCTGTTCGAGGCTACCGTGCACCCTGCCAGCCACCCTGAGCTGCACCTCTTCTTGGAGCATGTGAGCGGGGGGCACAGGGCTGGGGTAGGGGAGGATGGCCGGCCCAAGCCCGGCTGCAGCTCTGGGCCTGACTGCAGGGTCCCGTGCCAGGTGGATGGTTTCGACAGCGTGGATGATGAGTCCAAGCCCGAGAACCACGTCTTCAACCTGGAGAGTCCCCTCCCCGAGGCCTGGGTGGAGGAGGACAACCCTCCCTATGCCTACTACCTGTATTACACCTTTGCCAACATGGCCACGCTGAACCATCTGCGCAGGTGCCTGCACCCCCCATCCCCTGCCCTGTGAACTTCTGCTTGCCCTGCACTCTCCAACCCCATAGACCTCACCCTGGGCACCCTGGGCTGGGGCCGCCAGACCTCTGACCACCTGGTGGCTATAGGCCTGGACTGGACGGGTTCTTTCTCTGCCTGGGGTCAGGGCCTGCAGGAGGTGGGGGTGGTATCCTTCACCTATCACCCCATGAATCTACCCTGTTTCCCGTGTGCCAGGCCCACAGCCACTGGCTAAAGGGCATGTGTGAGCTGGGCGGGGGCTCAGGGGCTGACCTGTCTTCATACCCCCAGGCAGAGAGGCTTCCACACGTTCGTGCTGAGGCCGCACTGCGGGGAGGCCGGGCCCATCCACCACCTGGTGTCGGCCTTCATGCTGGCTGAGAACATATCCCACGGGCTGCTTCTGCGCAAGGTTGGGGTCCCAGCTGTTCCCCTGCCTCCAAACCATTGGGCCCCTTCAGCAACTGCCCCCCTTTCCCCTTGCCCCTGGGATAACCCTCCCTACCCCGGCCTCCAGACTGGGCCCAGCTTCCGTTCTGGTGGAACTGGCCTTTGCACAGCAGGCCCAGCCTGGACCCCCTCCCCCGCCTACCGCTGTAAGGGCCTGGACCCCCACAGGCCTGCCTTCCTCAGCCTGGGGGCCCCCTGACAGGCCTCCCTCTTGCCTGGCCAGGCCCCGGTCCTGCAGTACCTGTATTACCTGGCCCAGATTGGCATCGCCATGTCCCCACTCAGCAACAACAGCCTCTTCCTCAGCTACCACCGGAACCCGCTACCCGAGTACTTGTCCCGCGGCCTCATGGTCTCACTGTCCACCGATGATCCCCTGCAGTTCCACTTCACCAAGGTCAGAGTCCGGCAGCGCTTGGGGCACTGGGGTCTTTCCCGGTTGTTGCTGCCCCCTGCTGGTGGGATGCATCAGGCCAAGTGGCCAGTCCACAGGGGAGGCGGGGCTGGGGAGGGGCAGCAGGGCTGGGCACTCTGAGGGTCCTGGCCCTTGCAGGAGCCGCTGATGGAGGAGTACAGCATCGCCACGCAGGTGTGGAAGCTCAGCTCCTGCGACATGTGTGAGCTGGCCCGCAACAGCGTGCTCATGAGCGGCTTCTCGCACAAGGTAGGACACTCCGCTGCAGCCCAGCCCCCCTCCTCTCTGTGTGTGCGGTCCTGGCCTATCCCTAGCATGCCCCTCCGAGCTGCCAGCAGCCCTGCCCACTGCCCTACCCCTGCAGGTGAAGAGCCACTGGCTGGGGCCCAACTACACCAAGGAGGGGCCCGAGGGCAATGACATCCGCCGCACCAACGTGCCGGACATCCGCGTGGGCTACCGCCACGAGACCCTATGCCAGGAACTGGCGCTCATCACGCAGGCCGTCCAGAGTGAGATGCTGGAGACCATCCCGGAGGAGGCGGGTGTTGCCACAAGCCCCGGGCCTCAGTGAGCCTGGCCCGCTGGTGCCGCTGCATCTCAGCACCGCGACCACGTTTCCTCTCGGACCCTCACAGCTGCTGTGGTCTCTGCATGTCTCCATTCTTTTTTGTTCCTGTCCTGCATGTCTCTGACTGTGTCCCTGTCCCGGCCCAGTGAGCCATGCCCAGAAGCCTGCTTTGCCATTGTTTTGGCTCAGGTGACACCTGACAGGCCGAGGGTTTGAGGGCTGGCTCTCTCCACGGCCCTGTCCTAGGATCCTCCGAAGCCTGGCTGTCCTGCAGGCATCTCCAGTGTCCAGAGGGGCTTGGGATGGTTGTGGGGGGCTGGCCCCTCCAGCCTTTGAGGTCCTGCTTGGGCAGATGCAAACTCGGGCTGGGGCTGAAGTTGAGGCCCAGGTTCTGGTAGCGGCCTACATCTGCCGCGGGCACGAGCTGAAGGCGTGGTGCTCCAGCAGTGCTGTGCAGGGTGGGTAGGGCTGAGTGAGGTCCCCGCTCAGGGCTGCCTGGCCTGAGGGGGTGGGCTTGTTCTCGGGGTGCCGGACACCACCTTTGCCAAGTCGCTGCCCAGCAGTCTTTTCTGTCCTCTCCTGGGCCCACGTGCTCCTCTGCTGTCAACTTCCTGTGCCTCTGGGCGGGCAGCTGCCCTGTGCTGTGTCTGGGACCACTGTGGCTGGGGGGTCCTGGATCTGCCACTGGCCAGGGAGGTGATGTCCCTAGAGTGGGCCCCAGAGCTTCTGGATCCCAGCTGGCCCCTGTGTTGTGTTCTGGACTGAGGCCTTTGCTGTGAAATGCAGTGTTTCATACTACCCACCTTTCTTAGTGCATGTGAAATAAAGATTATTTAAGTAATGAGGCAGGTGGGGTCTCTGTTGGGAGTGGGAGAGCCATGCTGGGGGCCAGGAGATGGCAGAGGTTGGGGTTCAGGAGCATTCGGGTTGGGATGGAAGTGCAGCATGTTCTGAGGGGGCCACTCGACGTGGGTAATGTGTTTGTGCACATGGACACTGACAGAGGCGGGTGGTTACCCCCAGCCCTCACCATCTGCCCCTCTGAGGGGGATATCTGCTCTGCACAGCATCCGTCACATCAACTTGGGGGAGGGCCCAAGTCCCCCGGTCCCCCTGTAGACCTGCTTCCACTCCAACCTCTTAGAGCAGCCTGGCTGGTGTGAGAATATGCTCGTAGAATGAAACTCACATGCCAGGATCTTCTAGGGCTTGTTTAAAATGCCTCCTGCAGGGCCTCCCTTGGGGATTCCAGTCCGTGGGTGTGCAGCGTGGTGCAGATGTCTCCGCTCCTGGACGGACTCCATTGCAAGGGGTTGGAGCCAGTCTGTGTTGCGAATCCTGCTGTAACTATCTCGCTTTTGCCCTGTGTGCAGTACACGGTCCGAAGCACCTCCTGGGCATCTCTTTGCTGGGATCTTGCTCACAGAAAGAAGCAGAGTGGGGTGTGCAGGGTCCTGGGTGGGCAGCAGGCCTGTCTGGGGAGGAAAGAGCTCCCCTCCCTGGCTGAGTGCCTCAGAAACGGCCCAGGAACAGCAGGAACCTGGGTAACAGGTCACCTCCAGGGGTGCTAGTGGGAGGCTGTGGGCCTGCTCTCTGGCCAGCTGCTCGGCATAGGCCCAGCCCTGCCCCCTGCAGGAAGGCAGCTAGAAGAGCACCTCCACCTGGCCCGGGGCCTCAGCAGTGCCTGGGTACCCTGGACAGAAGCTCCCCTCCTCCCCTGACCTTCTGGCCAAGACCTAGGGCCCTTGAGTTCCAGAGGTGGCCCTCGCCAGTTCCTTCTAGCTACTCACATGCCGTAGGATTGAATGTTAGAGCTGGGAGGTGAGAAGGGGCTGTGTGACTCGATAATGTCTGGCTGGGGAAACAGGCCAGGCAGTGGAAGTAGCCAAAGCTTAGACTGGAGTCCAACATTTCCCCTCAGTCTTGCCAGGCCTAGGACGGGCTTTGTAGGGGTGATGGGAACTGACTTTTCTTTCTTTCTTTCTTTCTTTTTTTTTTTTCCTACAGGGCCCATGTGTTAGTGGGAGAGACAGAGAAACAGAACGTGAAAAATCTACCCCCTGGGGTGGGGGGATGGGCACACCGCAATCCCTTCTCCATTCTCCTCTCGGGATCTTGGGCATGCACGCACACATGCCCAGCGTGAGTTTCAAGCTGCTGGGACCAGGACTTGAACTGTGGCCGACTATGTGGGAGTCCAGCAACATAACCATTATGCCATCTGCTGGTCCTGGAAACGGACTTTTCAAGGAGGTGGTTATATTTAACAAATGCAAGTGACAGGGCTGGCAGGTGGCATGGTGGTTGAGGGCGCTGGACTCCCACATGGCCAACTGCGGTTTGAGTCCTGGACCTGGCAGCTTGATTTCTCACTTTACTTCTCCCTCTCACTGTCTCTTTATGGTCAAATTAAAATAAATAAATAAAGTTAAATAAAATAATTTTAAAAATAATGCAAGTAAGCTGTGCCTCTGTGTTTAACAAGAAAGCAGGGTTATTAGTTTTTTCTAGAATGTCCTGTAAAGGCAAGAACTGCCTGTCTCCTTTGCCAGCACTTAGAAGCCTGTATTTACTCGAAAATTTGAATTGGATATTTCAATTTGTTCATTTCCTTGCTCCTGTTGGTCTGAGTGTGCGAAGGCCTAGCCCTGAGAATATTACCCAGCTGAAGAGCTTCTAAGCAACCTGTCCACAGTTTTGACAGCTTGCTTCTGGTGTCTTAGCTTCTCAGAAATCCCTCTTTCAAATATTTATCCAGAGCAAATAATCTTAATACTAATGCCTTCATACTTTGTCTTATCTGAAAGTAAAATCATTTCATAAAAAGAAGTTGGAAAACAAAAAAAAGGAAAAAGAAAAGCCCACTTGTAATTTACCCGTATCACCAAATATTTGCCAATTACCTGTGTGCCTGCGATAAGTACATATTTTTAATACCTTCCTATTTATTTATGCATTTCTTTCCTTTTTTTTTTCAAGATTTGTTTTGCTATAGGGCGCATGCGCTCTCCAGAAAGACAGAGAGAAACTGAGAAATCACCCCCCAGTGAGGATGGTCATGCCACAATCCCTTCTCCTCCATTCTCCTCTCGGGATCTTAGGCACGCACGCACACACACCCGATGTGAGTTTAAGCCACCGGGTCCAGGACTTGATCTGCGGTTGACTACAGGGGAGTCCAGCAACTTAGCCATTACACCAACTGCTGGTCCCCCCTCTTTCTTTCTTTCTTTCTTTCTTTAATTTGCCAGAAGGTACATGTGCTCACTGGAGAGAGAGACAGAGAGAGAGGGAGGGGAGAAGGCACTCATGGGGCACGGTCACACTGCGGTTCTTCTCCATTTGTCCCTCCTGTTGGGATTTTGGGCATGCAAGCACACATGCCTGGTATGTTTCTCAAGCCACTGGATGTGGGACTTGAACTGCATGGTTGGCCATGTGGGATCCAACTGCCTTAACCACAGGGTCACCGGCTGGCCCCCAGTTCTTTTTTAATATGCAATTTGGAGTTGAGAATACATGTATATACACACATCCACAAATTAATATGTCTGTATCAATGAAAGTTATGTCATTTTATTTTAAAAATTATTTTAACAATATTTCTACATTTTATTAAAATACTATGAAAATATAAATTTTGTTCGTTGCCCCATGGTGACCCTTACCGTAGTTTACCATCACAGCTCCTGTTCAGAATAACCATAGCCTGGATATCCCTTTAGCACAGTAAGTAAGTTCAGTGCCTAGAAAGCCAGATCCCACGTGGCTGACTGTGGATAAAATCCTGGCCTACGCAGTTTGAAAAAAACACCTGTCGTGTGTGCGTGGATGCCCCAAATTACCACAGGATGGAGGAATGGAGGAGAAAGGATTGCAGTGTGACCAGGCCCGAGGGGCTGCCTTCTTTCTGTCTCTCTGGTAAGCACATGCACGCTCTGGTGATGGAAAGACAACCATGGCCTAATGTCGTGGCTAACAGCGTTCACGCTGGGCCAGACGACCTGGGTTTCCATTTGGCCTCACCGCTTTCTGGCTGTGACATGGGCAAGTCCACTTCCCACTGTGCTCAGGTGCTCACCACACCACATGGCGAGTGATGGCACTCTCTTTATGAGCTGGTTTTGGACTCAGTCACTGGATATAAAGCTCTAGGTGCTCAACAAATACTAGCTGCTCTCATCTTTGCATAGGCTTTATATTACTCCCCTCGTCTCGACGGTCTTGAGTGAAATCCCCAGGTCCAAGATACATTGGTCCCGCTAGAAGTGAACCATCGCGTGTAACAGAGATGGGAGTCCTTTCCTCGTCCCCCACCTCACCCACGCTGCCATGCCACCCGCCCACTCATGGACATCCTGTGAGGGAGGCACGTCTTTCCTAGGGCCTATAGTTAGGGGCCAGGCTTCCACTCCGACACAGAGCGGACAGCTGCTTTTCAAATTCCCACGGAGGGAATTTTTAAAATGCTGTTTTTGGGCCAGCAAGTGACATGGTGGTTAAGGCAGATGGATCCCACATGATTGACTTTGTGGTTCGAGTCCCAGACTTGGCGGCTTGAGAGTCACGCCGGGCGTGTGCCCAGAATCCTGAGAAGAGAATGGAGGAGAAGGAATTGCAGTGTGGCCACCCCCCCACCCAGGGGGCAATTTCTCACTTTCCCTCTCTCTACCTTTTTTAAAAATAATTATTTTATGTAACTTTTATTTATTCATTTATTTATTTCCATTTTACCAGATATACAGAGGGAGAGAGAGAAAGAGTGAGAAAGTAAGCCATCAGGTCCGGGATTCGAACCGTGGTTGACCATGTGGGAGTCCAGCACCTTTAACCACCAAGCTACCTGCCAGCCCCTCTCTCTGTCTTTTTTCATGGCAAAAAATAAAAAAATAAAAAATAAAAAAAATAAAAAACCTAAAAAAAAGAAAATGTCTGCTTTTGAAGACCCCAGACCGGGAGCAATAAATACAGCAGGATGATGAACTTGCCTCCTCCCTGTTGTAGAGCCGACCCTGAGTGAAATATACACCTGGGGACTGTCCCTTGCCAATCACAGACTCTTGTGGACTGGGCAGTACTGAGAGTGTACTGGCCACACCCTGCTCTGCCCTGGTTCATCTCCCTGGCGCCCCCTCTTGAGGGACTCAAGAATAGCAAGTGGTGAGCTGATGGGGCCCCAGACGGCGGTAGAGATGCTTGATTAGGGTAACAGTGATCTGGATTGCTGAACCCTCGGTCAGAACATTTACCCCCATCCAGTGTGCCTCATGTGGGAATGTATTCTGAAATTCCAATAAAGGTTTAAGTAGTAAGTCCCGTTTAACCCAATGGTTGACAAATCACGTTTATCCAAAGTAAGAGTGATGTTGCCTAAGTTAGGATGCCGTGGACACTGGGTGGGGTGGTCTCTGCAGCTGGAACTGGAGGTGGAGCAATCCATGTGCCTGGCTTTGGGGGGCCCCCGGTCCTCTCCAGGAGGCAGGGCAGACTTTCAAAGACCTGGACATGAGGGAGAGCTGAAACAAAACAAAAACATACCTTCGGGGGCTGCAAAATATGAGAAAAAGCAAAGTCGAAGTTGGCAAATGTTTAATGAAATGCTTTCAGAAAGTACCATGTCAACTTTGATATTTGGTAAGTTTAGTATCCATACAAATGTCATCATATTTGAAAACAATTTGTAAGTTGAATTTTTGGCAAGAGTTCCAGAACATTGCAGGATGATTGAAGAGAAATCAGAGCCAATGGGAAATTAAATGAGTTACTCATAGTCGAGAAATTTCCAAAGCCAGTTTATAAACACCCTTTTAAAATTAAAGTGGAGAAGAGTCATATTTAAGGAGGGATGTGGTGCATTTTAATGTTTGTTGCAATGAAGTGAAGCCTTCACGAATGAGATGCAGGGTCTCAGAAGGGGTCACCATGGCCCAACCCTGCAGCCCTGCTCTGGGCCAGGGGCATTGGCTCAGCCCCTGGCCTAGCAGCCCCTGTCAGCCCTCCTGCCTGGCTAATTAGGCTGGGCAGATTCGGAACAGCTACTGCTGCCACGGGCATCCTGACTAAATTTGTGCAGTGAGCTTGCCCGGCTGGAGTTTCTGTCTACATTTTGCAGAAGAGAGACTGACCTTGGTTTAAACCTGAGCATTCCGTTTATTAGCGGGGTACGTCAGCCCTTCTCCCTGACCTTGCAGGCTTGGGGGAGGTATGGTGGGTGAAATACCTATGAGCACATGGCACTGGGCTTAGCTCTCCAAGTGTGAATGCATTTAATATTCCTAAGGGCTCTGCGTAAGAGCTGTCATAGCCCCTTGCCTAAAGAGGGAAAATCCAGGTTCGCGGAGGTCAAGTAACAGCTGGCGAATCAGCTGGTAAGTGACGGAACTGGGACTTGAACCCAGAACTGTCTTCTGCAAGGTGTTTGTTTCTCCCCCCTCTGTCCTGGTCCTTGGAGTCTGTGTCTAGTTAGGGGTGGTCTCTGAGGGGCAGGTGCTCAGGAGAGGGTCAGCATCGGACTGGTATGGCTGAGGTAGGACATGCCCACATCCCTGGCTGCTGGCTGTGGGGGCAGGGAAGAGCTTTCTGGGGGAGGCAGTTAAGACCAGTGGTTACACAGGGGTGGCAGAACTGTGCACAGTGTTCTGACTGGCTGGCACAACCTGCTAAAAGATGGAGAATGTGGACAGAATTTGAGTGGCATGGTGGCTGGAATCCAAAGTGGCTGGATCCAACTGGCCAGTTGAGTGGTCTGAGA